TAATTAACTGGAGAAATTTCTAGCTGATACCTTTAAGTTAAAAAAATTACCCTATTCACCTGGGGTGTCTCGCCTTAAACGTGATGCAAACAGAAATGAAGATTAATAATAGAAGTAATAAGTAATGGCAAAACAAGCATTATGGCTCCTACAATAATAAACGTTACCCACAACAACATATAACACATATTAGCATACAGGATATCCTTCTAATATAAAATAAAAAAGGATACTTATTATGTCTTTAAGTGTTATCCAAATATACGTCTAACCAAATTTGCACATCTGTTGTTCTAGTACATTTGTACTATCTGCCCTCATACATATAAACAGTAAATGGCTAATTAAATGTGTAGGTGGTAACTGTTAACATGAATGTGTGGGGGGGGGGGAGCTGATAATGGTGACAATCAAATCATGGGGGTGGCATTTTTTCTTCTGATTCCTTTTATGGGTATATTTCTCCGTCTCTTTTCGTTATACCTCAACAGAATCTCATTAAATCACTCCAGCATCTCAGCTCTGATGATGTACGTATCATTTTTAAAGGGCAGTCAGGAGAAAACAAAATGTGCACCTGCGTCTGGAATGGTCTCTTCCACTATTCTGCAAGCCTCCCCTGAATGAGTCATCCAGCCGGCTCCTCATTGGATAAGAACATGCCATCCCAAGGGATTGCCTTGCAGAGGCAGAAAAGGCCTTGCTTCCATTCACAGAAACATTGGTATGCCAGCCTGCTATTTCATTCACATAAAAGACTAAATATTGCATGCCTTTTGTCCTCTGCTCTTGTTCTCCTTTTGTCTTATTGCCTCCTCATTTGATGATTTGCGAGGGCCTGCCTTTTCTTCCCTGCTTTGGTGTTTGCCTTTTTTTCTGAGGAGAGAAGGCAGACGTGCTGTCTTTCTTTTTTCTTTTTTTTTTTCTATATTTGCCAGGCAGGAAAGAGAGATGTTGGGAGGGACTGCAGTGCGAAATCTGCAGCAGAGTGAGAGCGGAAGCTGCTTATGAATGAGTGTCAGTCTTTTGGCTTTGCTAGATGCTCCTGAGGACATTTTACATGAATGGTGTCTGGCTGTGTGCTTTTCCGCTACCGGGGAGACAAAGATGCTTCATTGCTGTCGGTCTTAAGGAGACTCGTGGGCTATTTGTGTTATCCTTTCCGTTGTTTCATTGACTCATCTGCCTGAGAAACACGTCGTTCATGCAGAGGTTTTTTTCTTTAGTTGTGTCATTCATGTAATTCAAGCCGGACCAATTGATGGGTTATTTTAGACGAGCTGTGAGATTGTTTCTGCTCCCTTGTTGTGAATTGGATTTCTTATGCCTTTGTTGCAGAACATAGATAGAGAATCAGAGCTGCACATTAGACGAATGGTCTCAAAACAATTTTATATGTGTATACAAAAATAGCTTTATTTATTTTTGCATTAATGGATGATTATTAATAAATTGTGCAGAAACAACAAGTGTATTAGGGAGATATCGTTTTTTTAAAAGTATATATAAGAACCAACTCTCTGCCCATAATTTGCAGCTATTATAAATTAACATGGACAATATATTAATGATGTTGCGTATTTTTCGATCATGCTAACATTTTACTGTATTGTTGCTTTCAGTGGTTGAACGTATGGATTAACATCCTTATAAGAAAATGACGTCTTTATGAAACATTAAAATAGAGATTTTATTCTTTAATGAAAAACGTTTGAAATGATTAACTGCCAGTGAAATGGATAGTTTTCATTACCTATTTCATTTATCATAATTTCTGTGATAATTTGATGGCGTGTAACCTTCTTTTTGTCCCAGCTTTTGAACAGTTCATCCCTTAAATAAGATATTAATTGTGTACGACCAGAAGTCAAGCAAATTATTCTCAATATTTGTCTTGCCAAGTTAAATAATCACCTCTCATTCCTCATTTCCTTTTTCCAAGAAAAACAAACAAGAAGGGAAGAATTACAGAGAATAAACATCAGACTGGGGAATTTAAAAATTGATTGGTTCTAGTGTGCTGTAAGTGGGAGTTTTTTTTCTCCCTCCGACAGGAAGTGATTTGCAGTGTTCAGCAAGCCTTTTGTTGAGAAGGTTTTCTCAGATCAGTGAGTCATGCTTTAGCTCTGAGCCGGCAGGCAGGCAGCAGTCAGTAGAGAGTGTTTGCTCTTCCCTCGCAGTATCCGTGATCATCGACAACATAGACCTTTCTCTGTTCTCTTACTTTTTTGATTTTTGAGGCTAGAAACCATCAGCAGCATCACCGCTGGAAGCCAAACAAACTGCACCACAACACTGGCAGCCTTTTACAGACCTTTTTCCTCTCCATCCTCTTCCTCCTCTGCCTCAATGCTGTGTTTCCATGGATTGTGTCTGTATATTGCTCTCTGACGGATTGGATTGCAGCTCTGGATTTTACTGAGAGCAGATTGGACTTTGGCGACAGCAGCAGCAGCAGCAGCAGCAGCTCAACACAACCACCACTGTAACCTCCAATAGAGAAAATTACAGTCAGGTGGCCTTTGATTGCTAAAAGGCGTTTGCTGCCTGTACCGCTGCTGCTATGTTACAGGAGAGGGTAATCAGCACGGCTCAGCCACGTCTGCCAGCACACTTGTGAAAAAGGCAGGCTGTGCGCGTCGGTTGGTGGAGAGAGCAAGAGAGAGAAGGGTATGCTTCACCGTACCAAATACAACCGCTTCAGGAATGAGTCAGTAACATCCGTCGATGAGCTTCTCCACGGCCTGTCCATGAACCCCAAGGTCTCGGCCACCCCCCAGTCTGCAGCCGAGACATCTTACACGCCCCCGACGGAGGTCCAGGCCTCCTCCACCTCCACCACTGCTTCCAGCACCTCCACCGGCCACGGCTCCGACCACCTGGAAGATGGAGGCACCACCCTCTGCACCCTCATCAACAAGGTGTCCAGCCTGAAATTCAGCAACTCAGGCAGCCTGCTAGGCATCAAAGGTCTGCCCTCGGCTGTCAAGGACCTGGCTGTGTCTAAGCTGCAGGGGGGTGGGGGATCCAGTGGTTCGAGCCCCAGCGCGGCAGCCTCTGGTGTGGGCTCGGCCTCCCATTCATCCCCCGTCAACATGAGCAAGAAGAGCAGGCTGGACGAACACCAGCCCGCCGGAGAGGACTGGAACACAGGTGGGGGTGGCGGACTGTTGAGCAAACCCCCCCGAGGGTGGCTACACTCGAGCGAGAAGATCTCTGGTCCAGGAGTGACATATATTGTGAAGGTTGGTGGTCTCATTTTCAGTTTTTTTGTCCTCCACCTCTTTTACATTCTTTACCCATTCTCTCTTTTCTTTCAATGACTCAAGCTTCAGCTACCTGAAGGGGGGAGGGGGTAAAGGAGAGATAATGTAGTTCCATTGGCACATCACAACATGCCCTTGAGTGGGTGTATGTAGGTTGGGTACAGCAGAAGGAGCAGCGACGAGAAAATAGACATTTAATAATTCAGGAAATAGAGAAGGTCAACATTGGGGGGTTTAGGAAAAATGTGATGGAAAAACAATACACGCAATTATCAGCGTCGTTTTGAGCATGCTGTAAACATTTCAATTCATACCGTTCTTCTTGTGTATGTGCAGCCACAGCGTTATGCTTTTGTAACCATGGTGATGTGTTATTTCTGTACATTGTGCATCTCTATGAGCTCCGTGGCTGTTTTAGCTCTCAGATAGTGAAATGGTGGAATAGGGGGAAAAGAAGACACACAGAGCATGTTTGTCTCACAGTATCCGTGTCTCATGTTAATGTGCAGCCATCATACATCATTTAAAGGGGCACAAGTTGGCGCACAACTACGAGAGCTGTGAATGTCATCATGCCGGCAATGAGTCACTAGCATGAGGAGTGATGATGCTGAGCTCTTCAAGGTGTAAAGTGAATGAAAAACGGAACAAACCATTTTCACTGCAACCAAAACAAGCAGTACATCCTCTTTGATTTATGTAGCACATCATAAAAAGTAGTTTTTAGCATACTTAAGAGCAATGTGTTATTTCCAAATCAAGTTACACGGTATGATTGCCATCACATGACACCCACTATAACTTGCCTGAACAAAGCCTCCAGTATCTGTGACCAGCGTGACATTCCATTAACTGCATTAAGGACGGGAGCGCTTATTTGTCCAGTCAATGGCGCTGAAAGCATCCACACGGTGAGAGGGGGAATGTGTCCAGTCCGCGCGCCCCTACCCTCTGCTTTTCCTGTGGTTTGAGGTCCTGTGTGTATTGAGTTCAGCGTGGTGTTATGCTCACAGCACTTTTAATTAGCGTCATGCGGTCACTCCGCGCGCATCATGCACCATTACTCTAAAGGGACATAGATTGACAGTGACACTGTTTACACTCTCACTTTTGGCCCATTGTAGCTGTGTGTTTATACCAAAAAAGGCCAAAACAAATAGCTAACATGAGTTAAAAAACACTAAATGAAAGCGACCCCTTCACAAATAGTCATGCGATCTCTTGTTAATATAAGAATATTGACTAGAGCTGCGTGTTTGATACAAATTAGCATCCTTTTTGGACTGGTTAGTATGTTTTAGTTAGTGCACATCCTTATTTGTTGCATATTCTTCCTGTTTTTTAACATTTATTATTACACTTCATCAACACACAAGGCTAAATGAAAGTTGATTTATTAGATATGTGCTTTATTCTCTGTACCGTCCGGACATATCAGAATCAGAAACAAGTGTATTGGCAGGTACGTTTACACATACAATGAATTAGCTTTTTGCTTTGGTGCGAACATAGGTAAAAAAAGAAATATATAAGGATAATACAAAATTGTTATTTTTAAGAAAGAATTTAGCATTAAAATAGGATACTAAAGACAAGTATTCACACCAAATGTAAATATACAAAGAACCATAAAAGCTCAAATGAAAACATGACAATATCCTGCCTAGACTGTACAGAGTTAAGTGTAGCTATGCACATTATGGAACAAACACATCTTGTGACATTGTAAATATGAGGGAAATGAAATATACCCGTTATCATTTGGAATAAACATTTGAATTTATGAACATAACATCAGAACTTTAGTAAGTTACAACTGAATCCGTTATTATGTGTTTTATGTTTCAGCTCTTCTTCTGTTTTTAAAGTCAGTAGTGTGCATGTTTGTGTAGTTTTGTGAATGCATGTTTTCTTTCACTGAAATCATTTCTTCAGACCAGGCCTCCCATTGATTTTCATAATTAATTTGAAGTTCAGTGGCACTGTGGGAACCATGTTCCTGTTCTTTCGTACAGCACGAGAGGAAATGTGCTCAGAATAGGTCTCTAGCATTTGTATAACCGTTTGATTTATTTTTGGCCCTGCTGAATTGTGCACTTTAAACTCTCCGTACTGAAAATAGATGACACTAAAAATCTGCAAACGTCATGTTGACAAAACTGTATTTGTTTGTCTGTGCTTGCTAAACAATCGCTGGAGAGAAGGGGCCTCATAATATGAAAGTTATGATTCTAATACTTTTGAGAAAGGTGTAGAAATAGAAACATTAGTGTGTCTGGATTTCTGTTTTGTTTACAGACAGATTATGAATGTGATTCTGTTAACAATAGGAACTCGTCAGCACAAAATGTTCTCGGCCTGTGCAATATTAATCACAGGAGGTGTTGTAATGTGAGTAGGGGGCTGGGGCTGAAGATGGTTTTATGAGATGTTGGGACTACAGCCACCTCATGTGGCATAGTAACACAAAAAATCACTTATTTCCCCAACAAATCATGTCGGACTGGCTTTTAAACTCTTGCCGGGTGTTTCTTTTTTTAATTACATGTAGGAAGTAGAAACTCCTGATATAATACAGGTTCATGCGTATTTGCAACTATTATGCACAGTTTTAGATTAGTTTTTTTTTTTATCACAGTATGTGTCATTTATCGATTAGTCATTTGTGCTCCAAAAGCAAGAAGTTAAACTGCAGTTTTTATCGTAAACAAACAAATGTATCTTTTAGGTTTTTCTTATCAAAACGCATTATTTATTTTAAATGAATTGTGTGTTGTAGTAGCATTACTGTTTCTTGGAATTAGTGAGTTTAGATTGATGCAAATAAATGAGGTATGTTTGTAATCATGAATGTAACGTTTGTCCTTTTTGCTTTCCAGTATCTCGGCTGTTTAGAAGTCCTTCGGTCAATGAGATCTCTGGATTTCACCACAAGATCACAAATTACAAGGTATGTTTGTTAACACTTTGTATTCGGACTTTTCATGATTGACTAGATTTACTCCAAAACTATTTTCAGTACAGCAGTCATTATCCCAGTTTACTATTAAAACCCACAAACAACACTTAAAGAGAAACTAAACTGAACACTTGATAGAATTCTTAACTATCCAACATTTGTTTTGAGTTATTTTGAAGGCTTTACTACGAAATCTCAAACATTTTGAATAAAAAATAATGTCATAAATATAACTCTATTTACATTTTCCATGGATCAGATCAGTGAAAATCTTTGATGTCACAAATTGTTTTTAGGTGACTAGTTGTTTAAACATTTACATTTTTGTCTACTAAAACACTTTATTTTGTAATAAAATCACTTCTCTCTGTCATGTCTTAGTTCATTGACATGTATAATTAGTCAGTTTTAAAAGGTTCAATCGGCAATTAGATAAATATTGTTTTAAAACATTGCGTACATTTTAGAGCACATTTAGGGTGTCTGTTATCACAATTAGTTTGCATGGAATGTTCTGACTCCATGTGTATGTTAGAAATCATTGACCAATGTGCAGTGAGGCAAAGGCCAGCAGTGAATCGGTTTGTGTCATGTCCACTTTTATGCTTGACTTCCTGAAGTCAGTCCAGGCTAACGGTAGTTTGCAAAGCCACACAGCAGCACTCTCTTACTTTCTCTCATTGTGCATGTGTAATAATAAAGAGCGATAGACAAACAAAGACAAATGTTATGTCTCATGCTACTGCTATTACTAGGTGAGGACTTTTCTAGAATAATCTACTGCTGTGAGTGATTTATCCACCTAGAAAGGACACAAACATTAGCATTTCTGTCATGAAACCAAATATTCACTTTGTCTCAGAGCGGGATTTGACTCTTCTGCATCAATGCAGCTCTACTTTTATCCACCATTTACTCCACATGTTGTCGTCATATATGTAAACGTTTTTATTACGGTGGTCATTTCTTAAAGGTAATTTTAGACGTTGGTGTGTAGAAGTGTATACCAGGTACAGTTTCCTGGTTTTACAGAGTTGCAATGCATTTGTAATATTCCCTATAGCACCTTTTTAAAACACTCTTCACTGCATATTGAATCCTGACGCAGATCTCTTGTGGTCAATGTGATTTTATTTAATATGTAACAACCTGTTGAGTCCAGGCATTGTTTAAATAACATATTTTTTTGTATTAGTTTAGTTTGTTAATTTATCTGTCAGTCTGTTTCCTTTTTTTTGGTATCATTTATTCATGGCTAAATTGTATTCATCTGCCATATGTTAATATCTTTATATATACAGTCTATGGTTGATATACAAAACATCTAAACGGATAACATCATATGAATCGATACATTTATAGATAAAGCAATAATTGTATGCAAGCAAAACATGAACTACAGGAAATACATACAGTAAGGCAGTTACACATGTCAAGTCAAAACCTTTATTTTATTCTACATACAGCCAACATTGTATTTTCCATGTATTCTTGGAATGAACAGTCGCATCATAACATGCAAATGTGTAATAGGAGAGAAAGAATGACTAGCTTTATTAATAAGGAATTGATGGGTGATCATTAAATAATTATTTAACTATCAACAAACCTAATTGTACCCACTTAACGAAAACATGAACCAACTCGTGTTCCCAAAAACAAATCAGCGTCTACATCTCAATTTGCAAAAATATATTGTACTCTGTGATTAGTGCTAACTAGCTAAGGTTAATATACATGATACCTGCTAAACATTAGCATGTTAGCATGATGGCTGAGAGTTATTTTTGGCATATGCATGAATGGACATTTTCCTTGTAAGATAAGAATACTGTTAATATTATTTTGAAAGCATTATCATGGGTAGTTACTCTGACTCTGCGGCTGTCTATGGTCACCATCTTGGCTTCACCCTCCTCTCGCCCTCTCTCTAGGGAAGCCATCAGCCTGGTGTGTGAGGCTGTTCCAGGGACCAAAGGAGCTCTGCGCAAGAGAAAGGTATATGGATGGAAAGAGAGGGAGGGAGGGAGGGAGGAAGTGAGATGCAGGGATCATGGGAAAAGTGATCTCTACACTGAGAGAGCTGATAAAAATGAATGTTACTTAATGGTACAGAAGGGAGAAAAACAGAGGAAATAACATTAGATATTAATTTACTCTTCCACGTTCTATAAATAGCATCGCCTCTGTAACTTCTTCCTCTCTTCCTTCATGTAAAAAGAGAGGGAAAACGGAGACAGATCGAGGGATTGTACTAAGAGAATAGAGGGAGAGAGAGGCAGAGGAGAGATGAAGAGGTATGGGACTGTATGTGCGTGGGCGTAGCTTCAGCCCACGATGCATTGCACACCGCGCGCACAGTGCTTAGTGACTCATGTAGTGCACAATATCTGTGATCAGGAGACTGAGCTAGTGTGTGTGTGTGTGTGTGTGTGTGTGTGAGCGTCTGTCTTCCCTGTGTTTGTGTGTGCGTGGGCATGGTGTGTGTCCACAGTGTGTGAGAAGACTGTGTCTTAATGTGGGGTGTGAAATGAAGCATTACTCTGCTCTCTAGAGCTTGTTCAAATGTCAGGGAAGAGTATATAACACCAAAAAAATCACGTAGACTAGTTTCTCTCGCAGAATAAATGTAAGATATAAGATGATGATGACAATTTGGCTGTGTGACAAATGCACTGTGGTGACATCAGCCTCATACTGAGAGTTTTGAATGGCTAATTTTATTCAACCCTATCGCCCCTTCTCTTATCAACACTCATTAATTCACTCACAAACCTATTATTAGATTAATTTGCAAGGCACCAACAGTAATCAATAAAGAATAATGTTTCTTCTGTATTAACTAAATAATAGTAAAATGACCCTTTACATTACTCCTTAAGGTGAGACACTGCAGGCTGAAACATAAGCACTGGTAGAATTTAAGAGTTAGCTATTTTGCTCTCATAGTTTATTTTTTCAGTTTAGTGAAAAGAAGACACCAAGTTTTTCTGTTTGCATCTGTAGACTTCTCTTAAATCCACCAAAGGTTATCGTTAGAAAATGTATACTTCGCAAACAATTTTAGGAAAACTGACATAAATGCTTAACTGGAGACATTTCATAGACATTTCGTTTAGTCCATTATATTATTTTTTCTACAATTCACCTGGTGTATGTCTCCTTAAAGGAAGAGTTTATTAATTGTTCATTTTGGTAAGTTTGCTTTGTCATTTATTCTCAGAAACGTACTAAATATGAATCTACATCTAGCAGCGGGTAGGCTTAGCTTAGCTCAGTGTTTCTCAAAGTGGGGGGGAGCTCACCCCTTGGGGGGCGCAGAGGCATGACAGGGGGTGCGCGAGAGACCAGGAGGAAAAATGGTTAGGAAAATAAAAAAATAATTTGGAAAATTATTGGTTCGAAAATAATATGATATACTATAGTACAGTACAAGTACGTCTGGGTCTCTGTGTCTCATTAAAGCTCGGCTCTGTGTGTGTGTGGAACGAGCCATTTTGTGTGCGAGCGAGAGAGAGAGCGCACCGGTACTGGAGATCGTTGTTGTTAGCTTCTGGTGCTAGCGAGCTACACTAACTGATATAACAAGTTTTTTCCACAACAAGGTGGAGGAGAGTCCTCTCCTGTCAGACTGAGAGGCTCAGTGAACTAAAGGACTCTCATTACGTGACTATTTGTGTTGGGGGGGAAACAACTTTTTTTTTTTTTGAGAACCACTGGCTTAGCTTATCAGGGAAACAAATAGCATGGATCTTTTGACATCTTTCCCAATGCTTATGCTAAGCTAAACTAAGCAGCTCTCTGCCAATCGGCTTCTGGCTGCAGCTTCATTTATACTTTAGAGACATCATTTAAGCTTTTATAACATTTAAGATATACTGTTTAATTGGTAAGAAGAGACTTAGTTGATGTATTTCATTTTGTTTGTGTGTGTCTGTGTCCTCCTGTGATCCCTTCAGCCACCGTCCAAAGCTCTGTCCAGTATCTTGGGTAAGAGCAACCTGCAGTTTGCTGGCATGTCCATCAACCTGAATATCTCCACTAGTAGCCTCAACCTGATGACCCCCGACTGCAAACAGGTCAGTGTGCAACCTTTATCAACACTTGTGATTCTGTGAGCCACAGGCATGCATTTAAGAAAATAGTACCACCATTGTTTTGTTAAAAGAAAATCCCCAATCAACCTATATAAATATGTGTGTGACGCACAAGAAATAAATAAACCTTAAAAACACTAACTGAAGAAGGCCATGAGATATGCTTCAAGCTTGGTGAATAGCTACCTTAAGTACCTTGTGTTTTCAGAATATTTACCCAAGTATCTACAGGATAAAGAGAAAATCTCCAGAGCCAAAGAAAGATCAGAGGACATTCTAAATTTAGAGATCTTATTTTTAGCCGTTTCTAAAGTGACACGTTTTTTAAAATAGAATCCAGAAGGTCTGTTTAAGGAGGTTTATGTGATAAAAGGAGGGAGTCAAGCAAGAGCACAAAAGCTCTCCAGATGTTGCAACATAAACGAAGGAGGTGGGCAACATGACTGCCCCCATGCACTTCATAACATTTAGCTTATGGTTTATGGGTAAAATACAAATATTTATTTTGTTGTGGTTATTGTTCACCCTGGTGCTCTTCTTGATACTACCTGCAGATGGTGCTATATAAATAAACAAATTAAAATCCACACGTATACACCACATAACATTTCAAAAGTATTGAGTATCTGTTTCTAAGGTTATAATGCAGAGAGAGTTTCAGAAAAGATGTTTCTAAGCACCAAATCTCACTCAATAAACTCATAGTTGTAGCTCATCAAAGTTAAACTAAACAGCCATCGATCTTCTCTCTTTTAATAAATGAGTTGGTAATGGCCTATAAATAAACCAAATTATTCTTATACAGTATACATAAATATACGTGTGTAGAATCTGATGCATTTGTATTGTAAAGAGGAATTTGCTAATTTTTTTAATGTACATGATACTTTTTATCTTGACAGATCATAGCCAACCATCACATGCAGTCCATCTCTTTTGCATCAGGTGGAGACCCTGTAAGTAACTCAACACTGTCAAAGAGTTTAGTGATTTTTAAAACCATAACAAAGATATTGAATAAACCACACAGTTCATGTTATGGTTTTGTTGTATTTTACCACTGGATATTATAACAACAAGTGTAATTTTTCCCTTTCGTTTTAAGGACACAACAGATTTTGTTGCCTATGTAGCAAAGGACCCTGTGAACAGAAGAGGTAGGTGTACGTCCCTCTGATCTCTATATGTTTTATTACATTTACTTACATTCAACATGCTCATTAAAGTGTGTTGCTCTGGCCCTCGTCAGCATGTCACATCCTGGAGTGCTCTGATGGGCTGGCCCAGGACGTTATCAGCACCATCGGCCAGGCCTTTGACCTTCGCTTCCAGCAGTACCTTCAGTGTCCCTCCAGCAAAATGTCCTCTACACATGACAGGTAGGGTATATGATACAGGGCATTAAACCTCATTGTTCCTGTCGAGGCATTTTTCCTAAAATTCTTCTGGCATTTCCTCAGAAGATAAATATAAAACTTACAACATACCTTTTCTTTTTAGCTCTGGACAAAGTAAATGATAAGCACATTGACATATTCACACATGATTTCAGAACAGTTACACCGTTTACACACACACACACACACACACACACACACACACACACACACACACACACACACACACACACACACACACACACACACACTACCGACCTATTGCATGTGAATGTTGGAAAGCTTAATGCACATTGACAGAAATGACAGCAGCGTCTCAGACTGAATCTTCTTCCAGAAGGTGTTCATGAAACACTCCTAAACCACACACACACACACACACACACACACACACACACACACACACACACACACACACACACACGCACACACACATGTTGGCAGTATTGCGTTTCATGATCAACCCATATTTGTCCTCAGGGTATTAAACATGGAGGAGTTGGCATGGACAGAGGAAGAGGAGGAGTCATCAGAGCATCCTTACTACAACAACATACCCGGGAAGATGCCGCCCCCTGGAGGCTTCATCGACACCCGGCTGACCAATCAGAACGCAGCGTCAGAGGGAGGCCAGGTACAACTCAATTTATGTTGGATAATCTCAGGATTTAGCAGAGTAATTCATTTTTTCATGGGTCAAAATTAGAGATACACCAATTGCAATTTTGTAGGGCGTTAAGAGAAATATTGAACGCATTCTTGAACATTTTTGTAACTTCTTCTTTCAAGGAAAATTAAATGTCATATGTATGTTATTTAAAAAAACAAAACATTGAACATTAAATCACTTACAATTTCTCCAAAACTGCACCAAGTAACTGGATCATTTTAATCTTGCAACTCCACAGACTTGCAGGGGTCAAAATATCAAGCTTCATGTCTTCCTTTTCATGCTGAAAAACTTCCACACCAATGTCCTTTATGTGTGTGTCCACTTTGTACATTTTAAAATATCAACTCATGATTTCTCTCTGGGTTTCTGTTTGTCATCAGGTGGGCCCAGCTTCAGTGGATCAGACATATTACCAAGGGCGGCACTGTGGAGAACACTGGGGAGATGGAAGAAAGCCCATAATCATACAACAGGGTAAGAAAATACACACTTTCCTGTGACTTGAATAGTCAAGTCATGAATTTCATAAATTGAACACAGTGGCTTTGATTGTTTCTCCAAATGTAGGATCCTTCGACATAAACAGTCTGCCGGAGAGTAAAGGTCAGGCTTCAAAAACAGTAGAGATGCCGGCGTATGTGAACACTCAGCAGATCGACGCCCAGGTGCTCGCTGCACTCCAGGCAGAGGCAGAAAATGTGACGAAGGGCATGGCGGCCGCAGCCAAAGAGAGCCCTCAGAAGGACCTGTTCGACATGAGTGAGTCTCGACTGAAGGTTCACTTTAACGCTGATCATGTGAATAGTGTCATAATGTTCTTTGGCTTTCAGAATAACACTGTAATGACTTTCTAATCAGAGTTCTTAATTATAGGGTTTTCCCAGCTTTTAGTTTCTCAGTGACATCGCCTTGGCATTATAATAACACCATATCAGTTTGGACACAAAAGGAGGAGTGTTATCATCTGCAGTTTTATTCTTTCATCTGTTCAACTTCCACCTTAGCTTTTCTTTAATTATACATGAAATATCTGTTACATACAGATCTTTGTAACTATGTATGAGAAATACATTTCACAAATTACATGTGAGCCATAAACTATAACATTCCAAATTAAGTGTGAGTGGAGGTGTTATCCTCCTCCTGCTGTAGCTCTCTCACTGTTAACAGTCCCATTATACTTTGTTCCTCCACTAACACACTCTAAATCCAATTCCATTCAAAAAATAAGATTTTCTAATTGATTTAAATGGTTATTTCATAATTAGTTTGGAAGAAGATGTTTGTGTGTTACATATCACAGCAGGAGATGTGTTAGTTACTCTAGAAAGGACGTTTGATTAAATAGGAAAGACACAGGGTCATAATTCTTCATTGTTTTTCATTTAAATATATTTTGTTACAATTTGTTTATGAGGGGAGGCCTGTGGTGCAGTGGTTTGTGCGTTGGTGTTCAGATCAGGGGGTCACAGGTTCAAACCCCACTGCAGTCAGCATGTCGTTGTGTCCCTGGGCAAGACACTTCACCCCAAATTGCTCCTGTGGGGATTGAGTATGTAAGTCGATTTGGATAAAAGCGTCTAACAAGTGACATGTAATGTAATGTAATGTTTAAATCCAGGTTTTTTGCTTGCAGTATACTTTTCCTTTGCCTTTTATCTAGTGCATGGCTACATCTCTAACTGCATTACCGCCACTTGTTGATCAATGGAATAGTGTAATATAAGTATTAAGACTATTGTATTCAATATATTTGCTTCAATCCATATTTCATGATGTTTTCCATTCAAAAACAACAGTTTTACAACGCTCCACAAACTGTTTTCTCTCTCGCCTGTTGCACACATACATTGCGGAGTAACAGCAATGACTTTATTCAAAAACGACGATGTTGTTCATTTTTTGTATTTGCAGTCATGAAATATGCCTACAAACAATTAAAGCTTCAAATAGATTAGGGTTACTATTCATTTTACTGCTATAAAGAAATGAACACCCTGTGGTCTGGCTAAAGCAGCAATGACTTTCTATTTCTAAGAGACATATTTAGTTTTTTTTACTAACCATTATAGTATCTGATATTATTGATGTCACAGTTCACAAGTCCTGACGGCTGTAGGGTATCAAGTTAAAACTCATACTACAGAAATCCATCCTCTCTTAATTGATTGTTTCGGCCCTGCTCTAACTTACACCAGAGCCCTTTGGGGATGCCATCCAGTCGCAGTCCAACCCGGGGTCCCAGGGGCCGGCCCAGCCCCAGGTGTCCAACCTCCACAAGGCGGCGTCCGTGGACAACCTGAGTCCCCTGCTTGTGCGCTCCGTGGCCTTCAGGGCCCAGGAGGAGCTGGAGGGCAAGACGTGGTACCACGGCAAAATGAGCCGCCGCGACGCGGAGAAACTGCTGAAAGAAGACGGAGACTTCCTGGTTCGTAAGAGCACTACCAACCCGGGGTCCTACGTCCTGACGGGCATGCACAATGGACTTTCCAAACACCTGCTGCTGGTGGACCCTGAAGGCACGGTAAGACGTGGCTAAAGGAAGTGTAGAGTGTGAACTCCTAATGTGGTCATGACAGATATTTAACCCCTCTTTCTCTTTTCAAAGGTACGGACAAAAGACCATATATTTGACAGCATTAGCCATCTTATTTGCCATCACCGTGACAACAATCTGCCGATTGTGTCAGCTGGCAGTGAACTTTGTCTCCTGCTGCCCGTTGGGAGGAAACAGTGATGTTTGCAATGCCTGCTGGGAAATGGGAAGCTCTGAACAGTCTCTCCTATCATACTGAAACTTGAAGATGGAACATGAGAAGATGCTTGAAGGCTTTACGCGCTGACAGTGATTTTGGGGGATTGGCCCGTGCTTACTTTACTGGAGGCACTGGAAGACCCAAGATTTGTTGAAGATAAAAGAAATTATTTATAGAACTGTTATTATTTTGTTGTGAGGACTGAAATGCTATATTTTTGAGAAGACATAGGTGCATTTGGACATAATATCTTGATTTGGTGTTTAAAAGCTAAAAGAATAAAAAAAGACAATTGTTCTTGTAGTTTAGACGAAGTGCAAATCAAACCTCAAAGAGGTGTTAACAAGAGTATTTTAGAATAAAGACCTACAATTTTAGTTTTGTCTGTCAAGCACAACCACATTTCTACAGAAGCCGTTGGCTGAGAGGATGAGCAAACAAACAGTTTGGAAAACTTAGTTTTTAATGAATTAGTTTGATAAAAAAAAGGTCCTTTAATCTCTCCGATAGTGTGACAGCTCACTAAATTAGTCACTATATGAAATCTGCTTTTATTGGGGATTAGACCTGAATGTGTTTTGCTTTGCAGTAGTCACAACGTGTTGGGGTGCTAACAGGCATCCTTCATAGTGCTGTCAATGGCTTTAAAGATAAACTTTTTTTATGATGTGTTTTCTCGTGTCACTGCAGTCGCATGACTTAAAATCAACTGTTCTTGTGGACATTGTTCGTAGACCTTGAAACCCCTTCATTTGAAAGAGGTGCTTGTGTATGCTGACACTGTAAAAACTATTTTTGCTTTTCAACCAGTGATTATTTCTGAATTGGTTTCCTCTGGATTTTTCTTTTAGGTGTGTAGTCAATGATTAGTTTGGGGGCTTGGGTCATGCACTTGATATTCTCACATTTTTAATTAGCATTTTCCGTCATTTTTTGGTGGACTTTTAAAAGGTATTGTTACTATTTGAATGACCGCAAATGAATAGCACAATCAGAATAAGTTGTAAGACAAATTACCAATGTGTTGAGATGTAATTGACCGTTTTTACTTAAGAATTAGGCAAACACAAAGTGTGCACTCAATACATCATGGTTATTATGAGATCACCTTCACTTATTTATTATAACAAAAGGAATTTCTCACTGATATCTTATTGCAAGACTACTGTTTTGCCACTAGATGTCATCGCAGAGATACTTTTTATCCCCGTCAGTCGCACACCTCTCTTGTGTTATCACCTAATAGTAGCAAAGGATGCTGGCCGTGTATTACTTTAAGAATTCCGATACCAACATTTTTTTTGCTTGACAGTTCAGAGTTAATTTGCATTTTGCCGTCCACTGTACACAATCATTCCTCAGAACGGTTTGCTGTATTTCCTCTTAAACACACTGTTTTTGTAGAGTAGGAATCAGACATGGCTCATAGAAATAATACACAGCAGTTCTTTTTTTATTTTATTTTTTATTTCATTGTTCATTTGGCAGGGACATTGCACATTCATGAACACTTAAAACACTAAATATTTCAAATGTAAATATGCCGGATTTAGCTTTGAGCTACTTTCCATCCACAGTCCCTCTAGCAACAGACTTTTCAAATGCTCTCATCCTTACTATTGTCAGTACTCTAATGGATACCAAATGAATGGGGCATTGTATTTGATATGCACTGGACCACTTCAATTGAACCAAAATCAGCATGTGTTCAATGAGTTTGACAAGACAGATGCAATGTAATATAACGTGCCTGTATTTTGCTGCAAGAGGGAGTGTACAATACATGCATCTCACAACAACACTTATTTTAGCAAAGAAGGATCCATATGACAATATCCACCTCTGGATTTATTTTGGTTGAAGCTGATAAGACTTTCCCTTGATTCCTTGTGTCCTTGAGAGTGGAAGAGGCCAAATATTTGATTGACAGAAGGTGAGAAAAAAAAGCGCGCAAAGAATCATGATATTTTTGGCAGTTATCACCCATTTACCTAAAAAAAATCCTTTTTGATGTAATTTCATCAAATCTAATATCTTGGGAGAAGGAATAATGCGCCAAATTTCAAAAAGCAGAATGCTATTTATATTAAACTTCTGAAGTGCACATTTGTAGAACCATCTTGACAAAGTTTTGAACAAAGCGTATGAATATCTAATTTACCAGGAACATCTCCATACTTGAATCTCTCTGATAACAACATGATTAGCTGTGTGGCATAAAGAAATTATACAACCAAACACGCTGGGACACAAAAAGAACAGAGCTTCTTTCCAGATTTCTGTTGATGAAAATGTGCCTTTTATTTGTACAAATGGTATTTTTATTTCTCTTCTCTCTTTCTTCAAAGTGCAATAGCTAATCTTCAATGGGGCATGCCTGTTCACTAGAGGTTGTGTTTTGCCCTGCTGCGTGTTGCTGCTTGAGACTACTGTTTCCTCTCTCTATCTGTCTCTTTCTCTCCCCCCCTCCCTCTCTATTATATATTATAAATGTATCATTTCCAGGTTCTGAATATAAATCTTTGTTGGAGGGAATCACACAGAAACTCACTATTTTGGAACAGGTATAGTTAAAAAAGGAAATAAAAACAAAGAAGTCCAAATTATGTTTACAGATTTAATCATTTGGTTGTATGGGTTTATCATAATTCTGTATGACTGTTGGCAATAAAACCGTGAATGTGCCGAATCTGTTGTATCTGCTGAAATGATCGATAACACATTTCACAGATTATCTTGTCATGCAGATACTTTTGGTTTATTTTAGCCAAGATTTGTGTAGATTTAAAGGTCCCTTATGTACACCTCTTTTTCAACAATATGTCATATAGGTCTTAGATATATACAATACATATCTCTGAAGTGTTTGGCTCGAAATAACAAACAGATCATGCATTGTAGTACGCCGTTTCAGCCCTGTTTCTAAAGTGCGGATTCTGTGGGTGTTTCTCAATATTGAGTATGCTTGCTTGGTAGCACATGTCTTCCGAGTCACTTGCTTCAGAAGCGAGGCAAGAATACTTCCTGGCATTCGGAAAACGGAGTGGAACAGGCGAACAAGTGTTTTCCGCCACAGATTTGGGCAAATTGGTCCGTGCGCAAAGCATTGTGGGGATTTTAAGACCGCGGAGTCTACACATGTGCAGCCTCGAAATTTCTCCAAACAAAGTACGCCGGGCGCGGCACTCGATGACGTAGTAGGATTAAAATAGTGGCTCTGCAGCAGCTTTACTCGCGATTGAGAAACACCCCCTGGCCGTTTCTCAATCTCGAGGAAACTGGCTTCCAAGCCAATATTTCAAGGATGCTACGTCATCGAGTGCCGCCGAAGGACTGTTCCAATCTCCAGCATACTTGGAATTCCACCGAGGCCGCGTCCTTTGTTTGGGGGTAATTTCGAGGCTGCACATGGGTAGACTTCGCGTCCTTAAAATCCCCACAATGCTTTGCGCACGGATCAATTTCCCCAAATCTGTGGCGGAAAATGTAAGGCGAGGCCTCTCATATGTCGCACACCTGCACACTTGCTAGCCTGTTCCACTCTTTGTTTTCCGAATGCCAGGAAGGATTCTTGCCTAGCTTCTGAAGCAAGTGACTCGGAAGACATGTGCTACAAAGCAAGCATCCTCGCGATTGAGAAACGGCCCCTGTGTCTGCATCTTGAAATGCTAATGAGGTGCTGCTGGCCACGCCCCTCTGAGAGATGATTGGTTTAAAAAACACAATGGTGCTCTACGAGTTGATTCATGTAAAAGGTGGGTGGGTGTTACCTTGGTTGGTTATTGGCTAATGGTTGCACAACCCAAAAAAACATTGTGACATCACAAAGTGGCCAAAATCTGATCAGCTGATTTTCAGGCAGGTTTTTATATAAATGGATCAGGACAAAGAGAAAGAGGGAATCTTTTTTCCTGCAACATTTTGAATCTCCTAACACAGAGGGTACACATATTATGTATAACAGACAGGAAAAAGTGGATTTTGCATAATAGGTGACCTTTAGGACAATTTTTTAAATAATTTCTGCCTCAAGCCCAATACAACAGAGGTGAATAATTTAGTTATTAAGAGTGAACGCATTGGAAACACGATTACAAAAATATATCCATTAACAGTTTACTTGTTATTCTGGATAAGCCGCAGAACACCCTAAGGGATTTTCAAAAACATAGTCCCAAGGAATATGGTTCAGGTCCCAGGGATGCTGTTCAGGAAAATAAGTTGCTATTATTTTTCTAAATCTGAAAGAAACACTAGCAAAAAAATGCATTCAACTTCATTGTATTGTGGCTACAGAAATCTCAGAGGCAGTTCTCTCTAAAATTGGACATATCAAATCCAAACCATCCGGCTAGATACCTATACAAATAACAATTATTTTCTCCAATGATTACATCGATAAAAAAAGACATCACTGCACTCTACTATAAACACGAGGTTTATTGTGTCAAAGCTAATATTCTATATTATATAAATAGCTGCATGTATTTAACATTTATTTCACATGCTGCATTCACATGCCTTCTCTGGCTTCATGCTAAATATGATTAAGTTGAACTTTGTAAGAAACTAATTAAAATCCAACAGACAACAGTCTAGGATTAAAGAGATTCTGTATTGAACGTGCAGCAAGTTGGAGAATATCTAGTCAGCATTGAGAAATGAACCTACATATATTGAGCAGCAGATGGAGCCCTGGCATCACTTAGACTACTGATGTTGAATGAACTGCATCAGCTACATTCATTGTGCAGTTTGAACAGATGCAGTTTGAACATGATGATGCTGATTTAATGAAACGAGTAACAGGTTTAACTCTTCAGCATGTGCTTTTTTACATTTCACTGACATCACATATACAATGTATAATTCAGTTATTCTTAAATAACTGCACGTAGTACTGAGTTGGCCTATAATTGAGTGAATATACAGTTACAGAATAATAAATACATTACATCGTTTATCATAACATGGATAATTGTCTACAATCATTCTTCATTATGTTATTTTTGCAGCACTATAATTGCACTTTAATTCATTGCAGGTGAGTTTCACTTCTTATTCGTGTTCTTGGTCACATCTGTAACTACAGAGGTAAGAGTTAAAAAAAAAAGAAGGTAAGAGCACTATTTATTTGCAAATTGTCCTCGTCCTGCAAAAACACAAACCTCCAAAAATGTCAACTTTGCATGTGGAAACATTTACAATGCATTATGTTCCCAATGATTCAATTGGTTTAAAGATTTACAGGTAACTTTAAAATGACGAAATTCGGAGATACGTAAATCTCACTGGAAAGAGATGTAATACTGTACTTGACAAAGAGTAAATATTGATTGTCTCCTTTAACCCTTTGGCCTCATACATTAATCAGTGTAATGTGTAGTCATTTTAATACACTTCCCATTAATGGATGATGCATATTTAAACACATCAAGCACCTATAGAATAAATCCACTGCCCTGCACTTCAAGAAATCCTTTGTTTGAACCAATCTGAGCTCGTATTTCGTTATGGTCACCAATTTTGACCAATACAAAGGTCCATTTTGTTATGGTCACCAATTCTGACCAATGCATAGGTCCAACATTAGGACCAAATGTCCCTTTGACATAGAGTAGATAACTTAGTTCAGTCTTTCATGTCACTTTCGATGACGGCCTTTGCAGCCCCCCCTGCCACCACTGAGACCTCGCCATGGGCCGCCTCCTGCCCCTTCTCCAGCTCCGCCTGCCTGGAGCTCTGCTGGCTCTGGTTGGGGTTGTTCTGGCTGCTCCACGACTTGCTCCTGCTGCGGCTAGGTTCCAGAGATTTCCTGTTTTCGCTGCCATTCCCAGAATCCTTCCCTCTGAAGCAAACGCCACACACCAGGCGCAGGAAGGCCATTCTCATCTCACGGCTGGCCAGAGTGTAAATGACCGGGTTCATGGCTGAGTTCAGCACAGCTACTGCGATGAACCATTCAGCCTTGTAGAGGATGGGGCAGCGCTGCACACATGCCACATCCACCAGGAGCAGGACGAAGATGGGCGTCCAGCAGGCGATGAAGACCCCGACCACAATGATGACGGTGCGCAGCAGGGACATTGCATGCTCAGAGTTCCTGTTCTTGCTCACCTTTCGACTGCTGGACTTCACAAGGATGTAAATGCGAGCATAAAGGACTGACATGGCCAAGAGCAAAACCATATAAACTGTGATACAGAAAGCTACATATTTCTTGCTGTAGAGAGGGAGAACAGTGGAGCAATCGGGGAGGTTGTCCAAGCAGTTCCAGCCTAGAATAGGCAAAGCGCCAAGAGAAATGGCAATCAGCCAGCAGGTCCCTATGAGCAGGAACACTCTGTAGTTCTTATTGGCATCATAAGGCCTCATTTTGATCATTGTCAGGTGTCGTTCTATAGCAATAGCCAGGAGACTAAAAATGGAGGCTCCAAGTGCAACAAACATGCTTCCCTCTCTGACGAACCAGAGGGCAGGCGAGAGCTGCAGGGTCTTCTCCCCCGACAGCAGCAGGTTCACCAGGTAGGCCACTCCAGCGAGCATGTCACACAGCGCCAAGTTGCCAATGAAGAAGTACATGCGGTTGTGGAATCTGTGGTTTCTCCATATTGCCACCAGCACGGTGAGGTTCTCCAGGACGATGAAGCTGCATATGATGAGGAACGCGATAGTTTTGGCGTCCACGTTGCCGGAGCCTGTGCCGACACTGGGTCGATGCTCCAGCTTCCCTGTGTGGTTGTAGTGGCGGTACACCTGAGGGTTGATCATCTTAAAAGCACCGGCCGCTGACACTGGATGTCAGAAGTGAGCAAGGAATCCAGTGTCAGCAATTTCACCGTGTTTAACTGCAGGGTAAGATGTGAGGGATGAGAGTGTTATTTGAAAAAGCAGCCAATTTAGAGTTCTTGAATATTGATCCAGTTATACAGCATTTAATGGTTTTCTATATTCGATTTTAACTGGATCTAGTTTTCCTAATGGAAACAGATCTTCTTAAAGACTAACAAATAGGTACCTGCTGTAAACGTTTAAAAGTATACACCTTAAAATACACCAATGCTGTTTGTTTGTTTGTTTGTTTACATAGGAATTTTTGGACCGTTGCCCAAACTAACAGGGGCTCATTTGAAAATGAAAATGAAGGTTTGCCTTAGCTTTTCATACACAGTAGTTTAACCGATAATCACAAACATACTGTACACTTCATCGATGACGATTTCACTGCACAGTAAATGAAACCTTGCAGATTTAAAGGAGTTCATGCCGATTCAAGTTTTACGCAACTTACCGTGGGATGCTCGAAGTCCGGGTTTAGTTGAAAGTGAAACGCGCACAGGGAGACACACATTTAATTGCTGAGAGGTCGATTATCCGTGTTTTCCAGATTTAACGTTGAACTTTAATCCCGTCTCCCTCGGCTCAGTGGAAGAAAGCTCTCCTCATCTTTTACTGATCTCTAAACTCCGCAGTGACGACGGTTGGCTGGAAGTCACACCCCCCTCCTCCCCTTGCTGCTCTCCGGCCAGGAGAGAAATGAAGGGGATGAAGGGTCAGTGAAGTAAAGGCAACCAGGTGTGTGGAAACAAACTCATGTCTTTTT